GATAGATAGATAGATAGATAGATAGATAGATAGATAGATAGATAGATAGATAGATAGATAGATAGATAGATAGATAGATAGATAGATAGATAGATAGATAGATAGATAGAGATAAAAACAGTAGTCTCTCGACAGTGCGGTTTGTTTATCGCGGATTTGCTCTATTGTGGTTTTTCAAAATAAGATTGGATATGACACAAAGTTGACTGATTGATGGATGAGCTGCACGATGGACATGGAATTTTTATTTAAAATTAATCATTTTAAATTATTTAGATATTCCAGGAAACAGGAGCGGAGTGGGAAAAGGCTCTTTTGCCTAGTTCAATCTGCAATGAAGGGACACTGCAGGTAATAATGTCTTGGGAGTGCATGCTGTAGCTGCACTCATGCAGAGACATGTAGGAGGAGATGTATGATGGCAGCAGACCAAGAAGTGATTTAAAGATGAAAATGTACCAGTGAGAGAGTTTGCATGAATTTAATGATGTCCAGTTAACCAGTGAATACAGGGTGCAGTGGTGGGTATGGTAGTTTCAGACAGTTATGAATCTTCATGCACCATGATAGGCAGCATCCAGCATCTGCAGGGTGCTTGTAGGAGCGTTCATATAGATAATATTACCGTAGAACTGCAATTTGCTCCTGTTTGGTATCAGTCAGACCTCCATTGCACGACTACAACTGGTCCAGAATGCAGCAGCCCGGTTTTTAACCAGTACAGGCAAAAGAGAGCACATTGCACCAGTTTTGGCCTCACTGCACTGGTTACCGGTTCACTTTCGAATCCAGTTCAAAATACTCATGTATGTCTACAAATCCCTGAACAGGGCCCCCCCCCCCCCTCCCCCCCCACCCATCTCTCTGATTTGCTACAACCGTATGTCCCACCACGCTCCCTGAGGTCAGCGGACCAGTTGCTCCTCACAGTTCCAGCAACTCGTTTTAAGCGCAGATGTGACAGGGCTTTCTCTGTAGCAGGACCAAGACTCTGGAACGAGTTACCTCTGCTTGTCAGACAGGCCCCCTCCCTCTCGGTTTTCAAGTCCCCTTTAAAAACTCACTACTATTCAATAGCTTTCAACACAAGATGATCTGTGTTTTGATCCTGTACGCTCCACACTGGTTTGTCATCATTATCTGCATTGTTTTTTGTCTATATTCTGATTTACCTCATTTTGTATTTTGCTTGGTGTGTTACCTGTTGTTTTGTCTGTACAGCACTTTGGTTGGCTTTATAGCTGTTTTAAGTGCTTGATAAATAAAGTGGTATGGTATGGTATGGTATGGTAGTCAATGGAGGGAAGGAAAGTCACAGTTACAAGGCATTGCCTAGCATTCAGAGTTAGACAGGATTTATTTCTGAAAAAGAAACCCAGTTTAACTTTCAGTTTCCTTACTAGGTTTTCCACATGCAGCTTAAAAAAGAGAAGCAAGTCGACCAAGATACCCAAATATTTATAGGAATAAACAAACTCAATACGGACACCATTTAAGGATAAAATCAGAGGAAGAATTGCTGGGACTAACTTCCTGTTTGAAAAAAGGAATCCCTTTGGTTTTATCGGCATTTAGGACAAGGTTGAGATGGAGAAAGTCTGACTGAATGATGTCAATGGGGGATTGCAAAAGCTGGAAAGCCTTAGCAACTGTTTTAGCTCGACAATAAACAACTGTGTCATCAGCATAGAAATGTAAGGATGCATCAGGGATGCTCTGACCTACATTACCTATGTAAAGAGGGTGGGTCCTAAGACTGAGACTTGTGGTACACCAAATTAAATTGTTGGAAAGAAATTCTAAATTTGAACCTCCAAAGTACTTCTACAACTACTAGCGTTACATGTAAAATTAAAAATCAAACAATTCAAAACAATAAAATCAGTTAAAAACAAGAATACGTTTAGTAAAAACTGAGTAAATAAGACAAGTAGGCAGCACATTGGCGCAGTTGGAAGAGCTGCCGCCTCTCAGTGAGAAGGTTGCCGGATTGAATCCCGTCCTATCTGAGTCGAGTACGCATGTTCTGTATAAGTGCATACATGGGATTTCTCCAGGTACTCTAGTTTCCTCCCACAAACCAAAGCAAATGCATGATAGGCTAAAGCCCCCAGTAGACTCCCGCGTACATCCATACGCGGAGGTACGAGCGTACCCCCCCAGGGCATGTCCGTGCAAAGCTCAATTTTTACGAGCGCGTACGTGTAGTCTCACAATAAACTGTCCGGCAACGGACTGTTTTGTATGCGACACCAATGTATTAAATTCCCCTTCTTCATCCCTGATCTGGCCTTTTCTTTTGTTTTTTTGCCAAAAGGCAAGTGATCTCTTCCTCCTCCGTTGATGCCATGACTAAAATGGTGAGAAATTAAGGAATTTGTCACAAACTAATTAGACTCAGGTCCAGCATGGCTGCGGGAGGGTCTGGAGATTTCCTGGTGGGCTGGTCTGATGTGTGGGCTGCAGAGTCAGCACTCCCTGTTTTTATTTTTTTAGATATTTTTTATTAACAACATATCAACACAGAACATCGCTGCGGCTGAGGCTGCCAGCACTCGTTTTTTTCTTTCTTCTGACCTGTCAATCAATCCAGTAGGCGTGTCAGCAAATGACCAATCGGCGACCTCAATTTGTCCTGAAGGTAAACGCTCCTAGTCTGTGAAGCGGCTCTGCAGCTGCTCAGGGTGTACGCTCAAGTATCAAGTCTGAACCCTCTGTGTACAGTACACGCGCACGTACGCATGGATGGATGTACGTGGGAGTATACAAGGGGCTTAAGTGGTATCTCTAAATGGTCTCTAGGTGTGAGAGTGTGAATGGTTGTTTTGTCTTTGTGTCCCTGTGATGGACTTGTAACTCGTCCAGAGTGTCCCCCGACTCTCACACAGTGACTTCTGGATATGGGCACCAATGACCCCAGAAAGGAAGATGCAGGTAAAAATAATAGATGGATAGATGAATGGATGGATGGATGGGGGGAAAAGCAGAACAAATGAGAACAGTTGGGCTGTGCAAAAAACTAAATAATAAACATGCATTTTTAGAAAACTTTTAAAAGTGGACAATTAAGGTGCTTGTCTGATGTGAAATGGAAGACTGTCCATAGTCTTGGGCAGAAATGAAAAAAGTTCTGTTTCTTCTGAGGTTCTGTTAAGACCTTTGCACCTTCAGGAGGAGCTGACCAGCTGACCTGAGTCACCACTAGGAGAATAAGGGTGAAGCAGCTCAAAGAGGTTGACAATGGTAAAACCGTTTAAACTTTTATAAACAAATAAAATAATCTAACAATGAAACTCTAAAATTCACAGGAAGCCGGTAGAGGAAAGCCAGAGTGGGGATTTACAAGTTAGAAGCAGAGCAGCCGCATTCTGGACAACCTGGAGATATTTGCGGGAGGACTGGCTGACTGCAATAAAAGATTGTTGCAATGCTCAAGCCAAGATGTGAAAAAAGAAAACAAAAAAAAAAATCAAATGAACAAACAAAAAAAAAAATACATGAGTTATTGTTCCAACGTGCTGTTGTGTGAGAATTGGCTTTACCTTTGCCAGGTGCAAGGAGATGATAGAACTGGGACTTGGCTACTGCTCCAATCTGACAATTTAATTCAAAATCACTGTCCATTTTAAAACCCAAATTAGAAACAGTTGGCTTTATGTGTGGTGCCAGGGGGCTAAGATCAGCAGGAGATCATACGAGCTATTAGGACAAAACACTATGACTTCTGTTTTTCCTGTAGTTAAAATTCAAGAAATATAAGGACATTCAGGTTTTGATGTCGTCAAGACACAACAAAAGTGATTTAGCTGAAAGGACATCTTTTTTTTTGTGTGGTATTTTTGTTGGATAGTCGTTAGCATAACAATGAAAACAGACTCAATGCTTTATGAGAACTGCACCCAAAGAAAGCAAAGAAAAAAAAATAATAAAAAAAAACAGGGAATCTAAGATTAATCTTTGTGGAATCCATTAAAATAGGGGAGCAGCGGAGGATTCAGAACCTGCTATATTGACACACTCTGTCTGCCAGTTAGCATTTGAACTAGTTTGGAGTAGTGCCACAAGTACCCAGTTTGTGCTGTAAACGAGACACTAAATCATTGTGGTCCACTGTATCAAAAGTAACGGTTAGACCAAGCAGGAAGAGAAAAGCAAGTTCACTGGAATCATTTTCCATAAGGATGTCACAAACGACCCTTACTAAAGCTGATGCTGTGCAGAGATTTAAAAACAGACTGGAAAACCTCCAGGATATCATATTCATCCAGAAATGACTTGATCTGAGAATACTACTTTCTTTAGAGATACATTTCATGAGACTTTAGAGATACAAAAAAGCTTGGAGATGGGCCTAACATTAGCCAACACAGTTTGATCATGGCCAGGTTTCTTAAGTGGTGGCTGCACCACAGCATGTTTAAAACCTATGGGTCTAATGCCTGAAGACAGACTGCTATTATCAACAGCAAGAATCACATGCCCCTTGCAGGGAAAACTTTTTATTTTAAAGTGGGGAGAAAAAGTGGGCTCAGTGCAATAAGTTGTATGTAGCCAACTTCATCCCATAAAAAGGTCAGAGTCACTGGCTCCAACTTGTCAAATACAACCAGACAGGGGAACAAGCAAGACGGGTTGGAAGCATGTGCTAAGTTGAGAACCCTTGTGGTTGTAAGCTTATCAATAAAGCAGTGCAGGAAGTTATTACACAATCAGAAGATGATTCCTGACAGACAGGTTGTGGGGCCTTGAGAACAGAGTCAATGGTTTTGAATAACACGCATGGTTTGTCATGATTGGACACAATAATATTTGACAACTCTTCTCTTTGAGCTTTTTGAAAGTGTTCTGGTAATGGCACCAGCAGTTCTTTAGAGTGTGAAATGAAGCCTGCAGCTTGTCCTTTTTCCATTTTTGTTCCATTTTGTGGCACTCCCGCCTTGCTGCACAAGTTCTTTCATTAAACCAGGGCTTAGGTTCGGCCTCGGGCTGCACAGATTTTAATGGAACCACAGAGTCCAGGATGGTTTGGCTGGAGGAGTCAGAGCCAGAACTTAGCTACTCTGTATCAGTAGTTGTATCAGAGGGAACGGAGAGCTGCTCAAAGGCAGAAGAGAACTAACCCGCAATGGAAAGGTTAAAAACTGCACTGAGCAAGAACAAAATAATTAACTGCAGCACAGGAGACGCCAACGTCAAAAAAAGACAAGCATCTCATCAGAAACCACATTATTACAGATCTTAGTCCACTTAGTCCTGAACTTAGACCAGCCTGTCTGACACCAACAACCATCCCACATTCAAAGTCACCTAAATTCCCTTCCTTACCCATTTTAATTCATAGTTTGAACTTGAGCAAATCATCTTCACAATATTTATATGTATTAAACATTTCACTTTTTTTTTCTTTTTTTATATGTAAGCTTTTTTATTTTATTATGTCTGAAATGTATGCTGGAGTTCTGACACATCAGCGGTTGTGCACGCTCTGTAGAGCTGTCTGGAGTCATTCCTGTGCGTAACGTGCACTGTCTGCAAGGCGCGCTGCTTAAGGTGTTAGATGAAGACACTTCATTCCCGCTGGGCATACCGTCCTCATCTCTGCTGGGCAGGAGCATGCGTACGAGCTGGTGCGCATGCTGTGACCGGAACATCCACTCCACACATTGGGTCCATCAGGCCAAGGGCAACATGTCCTCTCATTGTGTTTTTAATAAATAATCAAAATGTTATTAATAACCCACTTAAACATTCAAACTGATTTGCAATTTAGTTGCGTTGTTTAACTATATTTTTGAGTTTATTAATAAAAATGTGAAATGACTTTGGACTTTTAGAGGCGGAGACTTGAGCTGCCGGATCCGAGCAAACAGTTTCCAGAACAAACCCTGTCAAAATAAGAGTTCCCGGACCTTGTTCTGACAGGATCCGGCTCAAATTAAACCCTGCTTCATGTGACTGGATGATTGACGTTTCGTGTTAACATGCAATTAAACAAGTGTATCTAAAAAATATTGTACGGTGAGTGTGAACATCACATAATGTACATATCATGATAACAAAATGATGTAGCTGTAGCCTATCAGAAATGTTACACAATCTCACAGTATGCAAATGTTCAGTCTGCCCTGCACTTCCCCACTGTGGTGCTTTTTTTTGCTTTTGTGCGTAATATATGTCACTGCTTATCTTTTTTTATCGCTCTCATCAGATCTGCATGTCAGTGACATCTTCCTTTCTGCTCTTGGAAGATACACTGCATAAACACTACATGGTTTCTAATGTCGTGTGGACACTGCTGCATACATATTGTATTTTTGAAGAATAGCACATCCTGAATATTATATGTACGTCATACACATCATAGGGCTTAACAATTTACACATACTATCTTTATAAATATCATTTAAAGCTTGCATAAAAGAAATGTCAAATTATGGCAAAATAAGTGTCAGAATACAAAACAGGATCTTGTGCATGGTCACATTTATCGGGCTCTGAATTAACTAAATAATGTATATAGGAGGGGCAGCACGGTGGTGCAACTGGTAGAGCTGCTGCCTCTCAGCGAGCAGGTCCTTGGTTCAAACCCCGGTCCAGGGGCCTTTCTGGGTGGAGTTTGCATGTTCTCTCCGTGCATGCGTGGGTTTTCTCCGGGTGCTCTGGTTTCCTCCCACAGACCAAAAACATGCATGTTAGGCTTATTGGTAACTCTAAATTGTCCCTAGGTGTGAATGAGAGAGTGAATGGTTGTTTGTCTTGTTTGTCTCTATGTGGCCCTGTGATGGACTTGCGACCTGTCCAGGGTGTACCCCGCCCCTCGCACAGTGATTGCTGGACATGGGCACCAGCGACCCCCGTAACCCAAAATGGAATAAGCAGGTAAAGAAAATGGATGGAAGAATGTATATAGGAAAAGATCGTACTAAATAAGGCTTTGTTTAGGAAAACAAAAAAATATATATTTTACTTTGAGTCCTGTCTTGGGCTTTTTGGAGTCTTTGTTATCAAACTCCATCCACTGCTGGGCGATGCGGCTCACACTGGGCTCAGAGTTGTTGACGAGCTGAAAACCTGTGATGTTGGCGCCACCTTTCCTCAGGTCAGTCAGGTCAATATCCAGGAAACCCTGAGACAGGCATAGAGAATAAATCATATAAAGGAAAAAAAAAAAAAAACCCAAACAAACAACTAAATAAAATGTTTTAAAATTGTATAAAAACAATTCATACATATCAAACCATTGTATCTAACTTTTTATAATCAAACTATCAACTAAACAGCTAACAAAAATATAATTTCTGACTTTTGCTTTTATATTAACAAGGGTATAGATTATTTGAATACAGTAAGTATGACAGTAGAATAGTGCCTATAGGACATTTTTAATTGTATGTAAAAACTAAATTTCAGAACAGTTTTGTAATACCTTTATTCATTGACTTACATACAAATGTCCATTGCTGCATTTTAATCACGTGGTTTAAAGTGAAGTAGTAGTATAATATCTAAAATCTTTAATTTCTAATACTAAAGAGAATGGTGCTTTTTCACTGTACATTATTATATGATCATTCCTCTTCAATACCAATATGATCGTCAGTGGTCACAAATTAAAATGAAAAAGAAGTTCTAATGTATTTTTATTTGTTAGCTTTGTTTGTTACTTTATGATTCATGTCTAAAACAAGTTTAACAAAATAAAGGACTAAAGGCACAGAATGCAGTGAGTGAAGAAAACCCTTTTATTTCATAGCAGAAACAGTCCAGAGCTAATGTGTGACAGATTCAGTTCTCCAAGGCTACATTAAACAATGGAAGAATCAAAACATGGGCCCCAAGGGAAAACTATAACATACTTCATGCAAAGTACAGATTAACTGTGACAGTATCTCCTGCTTGTGTGTTTTTCCCCATCTGAATGTTTGCAGCAGATTTTTTTTTAGAGAAAGGAAGGCAAAGAGGAGGAGATGGAGTTTCAGGCTCTCTGCAGGCTGCCTGTCAAGTGCAGACAAGTGAGAACAAGTGGAAGATCAGGAGATATTGTTCTATGGGTTTTAAAAAGAAGAGTTTTACCTGATGAGGAAAAAAAAATGTTGTATTTCTGCGTCGTCATTGTCACAGTTTGAGCTACTTTTGGTACATTCTCTTTGTTCTGACGTTATTTGTTTCACACCGCTTGAAGCTTTGGTTCTCTTTCTGCTACCTGTCTGCTTTTTCACTCCTACTTGTTTTCCATCCTTTAATCTTCAGGTAAATAACGACTACTGTTGACTAGCTTTACGTTCACTAAAATTGTGTTGTGCTTTCTTTGATCAGAAACAGAGCCTTACGCATGCCTCCATCACCGCTGCCTCCTAAAATACCTGCGTGTTGTCAGGTGTTTATATTTCTCACCTCAAAAGGAAGACGTGTCTTTTCTTCGCTCCATGAATGAGCTAATGGTGTGCATTGAGCTGAATAGGTTACTATAGAAACTAGCATTTGCTAACACTGGACATGGAGGAGGTGCGTTTCTGACAGACACTGTAACCCCATTCAGGCGCTGAATGGAAACTCAAACTGTGCCCTGTTCGGATCTTCACACAGGTGCAGACGGGACGGCTCTGGTAAGTTAATTAGCCCGATTCTGAAAAAGTGCAAGGACAAAGAAAAAGTCCTTTATTTTCCATTTTCTTTTCTTTTTTGTCCAAGTCCTTTAATGGACCCATTATGAAGGAGTGCAGGCACTTTGCGAATCAGCTGCTCGTACCGGCCGAGCCTTATCGTTTAAAATTAAATCTGGCAAACTGGCCAGACAAAAGAGATTGAGCCAATCGAGAAGCCGAGCGGTGAGAAATTGTCGGAGGCACTAGCTGCATGTTAATGTTGTTAGAGCCACAGCTTCTGGTGGTGCCAGTTTGTCTTCATTTGGCTGTGTTTAGTGAGTGTTCTAGTAGTCTATATACCATTTGGTTTGAGAAAACTGCAGTGAACAAAAGAGAGCTAATAGATATAGTTTATATACGCTGGCTGCCTGACCCTTTTCTGTCAAAGTAAGTCTGTGAAGATTTTTGTCTACGACTGTCACAGTACCCCACTTCTTGTGCTTTGCTTTACCGCTGAACTGCTGGCACTCATGGAGCTTTGACATAGAAAGAATAGTTCAAGTAGAAAATGGAATGAGAAGATGTAAAACCAGATAGTTCCAACATAATTTATCAAGAGCCCACAAGTCTATTAAAGTGGAGATAAAAAAAAACTGAAAGTCAGGAGTATTGTTGAAAGCTTCCTTTGCTGGCAATTTAAATTCAACAAAAGTATGAAGATATGCAGTAAGTGTTTTTTATTTCTTAAATACATTTAGATAGATAATAAAGAAGCTACTGTATTGTGATAATTTCTTACCAGGTTCGCGAGGATGTAGTGGTAGCTCTTTGCGTTCTTTCCTTGTTCAACAATCTAAATGCAGAAACATAGAAGTAGAAAATCAGATGACTGTTGCACACACAGTGGAGTCAGGAGGAACTTGTGCTGTTGTTGGTCACCTGCTCCCTTCCTCAGAGGGTTGGAACAGCAAGCAAATTTGAAAGACAAGCGTTTAAAAAAGACAATCTTTCAAAAGACGAAAGATTTGGTAACTGTTTTACACTGGATGCTTTTCACATTGCAACTTCAGAATCAGAATCAGAATAAGCTTTATTATCATTGCACCATAGTACAGTACAGTGAGATTGTGTTCGTACAGTCATCTGAAAGATGGGCAGAGTGCACGTTGCTGCTGCTCCTAAAAGCGCAGCCCCTTATTCTTTAGATGGAAAAGGGCAAAGGCCATGAGGAGAGGATAGTGGTATTACTAAAAAGATCTCGTCACACCTTGTCCTTGTCAGGACACGATTTAAGACATCAAAAAACTGTACCAGCAAGCACATTTATGTGCACAATACATATGCATTTGATGACAAGACGATGAGATTTGTCCATGAAGCACTTCCATATAGCACCATAGCCCTGATAAGATGTTGGTGTCAGCCAGTACAGCTCTGATAAGCATTCACAGAAATTCTTGGGGTGGGGTGGGTTTGGGGGGTTGCGGATAGAGCAGTGCCTTCTTTAGTTTACACATATCCCAGGAGAAATTTGACAAGTTGGCCTGCTTCAATGCCGAACGGGGATGTCAGATTCAGATAGGCCACAGTTGTTGATTTTTTTTGTCGCTGTTGTTATTTCTCGTCAGCCTTGAGTTCTGCTGGTCCTTTCGATGATCCAAAATGACCAGCTTCGTCAATATTCCACTGGTCCGTGCTTTTTATCTCCCTCCAAGGTTGTTCCCAACATGCTGGCAAGTCCCAGAAGCCACAAGTGGCCTGCGATTCTCACAAATCGCTTCCATCTTACAGTTGAGCTCGTAAATCAGCTGATTTTGAGTGCTAGAAGCACGAACCAAACCTTCACATACACTCTGCAGCTTTGCCATGGCTGAAACTGCTGCAGCCGTTTTCTTCAATAGCTGATATCATAGGTATCTGACAATACCAAAAAGCAAAAACCCTGCTATCATGATTCCAGTGTTATAAACATCTTCGGCGTCCTCCTGAGACAGTACGGAAAGGCACATCAACTTCCGATATCCCCACGGATCCATGACATACCCTGCCACATGCAGCTCAGAGGGGCATGAAGGTTCTCCAGGACTCTGTCGCTTGGTTGAAAAAATTTTATCAACTACATTGAAAATCCAGCTGACCAGATTCATGACAGTAGTTTGCGATTCAGAAGATGTATAAATAGAAGCTCCTTTACACAAGACAGAGAGCAAAAATACAGGAGGGAGACAGGAGAGGGAAGAAAAGTGTCTGTCTTGCTCGAGAATGAGTGAGGGGGAAAAAAAAAACTTGAGCTCAAACCTACAGCCTCATAATCACAGAGCTACTGCAACTTGAATGCACATGACAGAAAAAAAGAAGTATCTTACTAATGTGAGCCCAAATACACAGTTTGGGATTTGTGTTGTTGTTGTTTGTTTGTTTGTTTTGGTTGGCTGGTACATGGGGGATCATCCATGTGGTAAGCAACACAAATTCTATACTAATACCTAAGATGCAATTACGTGACATCAAAATACAAAAATATTTGTCAATATATCCTGATGCATGCATTGTTTGAAATGATTTAACATCTTATTTCAGTTTTTAATCTTTTCGGGACATAATTTTGGTTTAATGCAGCCAAATTCTGCAAGTTGTAAAAATAAATAAATAAATAAATGAAAACTGCTCCATTGTTGTTAAAAGTGCACAAACCAGGAGTGAGCATGTGCAAAGGAGGCTGCTCTAAGTTTTTGTCAAATCTACTGTACATGGATAAAACAAAACCAGGTTTTTAACATCTTAACTTTGAAAGAGTTTCTAAATGTTTTCTTTTTTTTTTCATCAAAATCTTAATTGCTTGAGGATGAGAGGTGCAAATGAAGCAGACAAAAAAAAAAATTATCAGCATGTTTGTTAGTGTAAAAAGAGCCTACAGTATATTGACATTGCATAGAAAAGGCAAAAAGTAATTCTGAACAACAGCAACTGAAATGTATGAAATAAATCATCTTTATGACAATGACAAAAACGGATGGCCCAATGTTCCTTTTTTAGTTTTAACATTTTCTAAATCAGGAATGATTTTATAAGACACAGCTGTTCCGAAGACCTAAAGAGCCGTACTTCTCTGGAAATCCACTACGACTTTTGTCAATGTTGAACTGAGCAGAACTCCCTCTTGGATTCGTATCTGTGTGTAATTCTCTCCTGGCTTAGCTGTTGTTAACTGCAGGTGTCATCTCATGTCAGTCAAACCCTCGGGCCCCTGGCAGTTTTAAGACTTTTGTAGCAGCAATGAATATAAATCTACAACCTTCAGTTTGACCCAGATGAGCAGCTTCAGGTAAGTGTAAAAGAAAAATGTTGCTGGTTTTGGTGGATCACATCAGAAAAGGATATAGTGCAGGACTGGTCAACCTGTGGCTCTCGAGCCACATGCTGCTCTTTGATGGCTCCTTTGCAACTCTTTTAAAAAAAGTTGGTGATTAAAAAAATGATTTGGTGATGCTAATGAAATCTCCCACACTCCTTGAAGGTAGCACTGGCAAAATCAGCGTAATGTGCATAATGCACAGGTAGAATTCAGTTAGCACTAAAGACCGGATCTTCATGGACGAGTCGGGAAAACGAAAAGCAAAGTGTAAATATGAAGAAGAGAACAGAACGTTTCTACCTGAATGGGAAGAGTTATTTTTTTAATGGAAAAAAAATAAAAAATGGGAGACCATTGTGCTTTCTTTGCCAGACTTCAGGAGCATCTGGTATCTAAGAAGCTAAATATGGAAGAGTTCATGAAACCTGTGCTGGAAATCGTGAATTTTATTCGCACTCATGCTCTGAACCACAGAAAGTTCCAAAACTTAATGGCTGATCTTGATGAAGACCTTCCCAGTGATCTGCGTCTCCACTGGATTTTGAGATGGCTATCAAGAGCTATCACGCTTTCTCATTTTGTTGAACTGTGGAAACCAGGAGCATTGTTGCTTGAAGAGAAAGAAGAACTGCTGAGCTTTGTGACCCCCAGTGGAATTCAGATTTGGGATTTCTAGTCGACATGTTGAATCACCTGAACAAGCTGAACTTAGATCTTCAAGGAAAGCTTAAAATGCTTCCTGACCTGGTGCAACGTGAGTTCACATTTATCAACAAACTCTAGCTCTTCTCTACCCATCTTCAGAAGGGAGATCTGACCCATTTTCCATCCGTGTCAAAGGCAAATGCAGCATCAGAGGTGAAAACAGCCTGCTATGCAACACTGACTGAAAATCTGCAGAAAGATTTTGAGGAAAGGTTTTATGACCTGAAACAAAAACGACCTCAGGTAACATTCCTCATTAACTCATTTACTGCAGACTCAGACTGTGTAAAGGCCCCTTTGGTGACAGACGAAGCAGCCTCCCAGTTGGAGATGACTGAACTTTGTGAGGATGACAGTCCACAAAATGTGTTTTGAGAGAAGGAACCACAGAGTTTTGGAAAATTGTGCCCACAGGCAAATATCCCAGTATAAAACAAGCTGAACTCAAGCTAATGGCAATGTTTGCATCAACATATGTCTGTGAATCAGTTTTTTCTACAATTAAGCAACAAGTAAAGTCTAAAAATAGTTCTGTTCTTACTGATACACGTGTGGAAGAGTTGCTTTGAGTAGCTACAACAGAGTACAAGCCAAACTTAAAGACACTTGTAAAAAATAAAGACTGTCGGGTGTCCCACTAAGACCTAAGGACTAAGGAAAATACTGTTTGACAAACAATGTGTTATGAAGCTAATCTTAAAATTGCTGTTTGGCTCTTTAAGGTGATGATGGGCTTAATTTGACTCAATGCTGAACTGGTTCGCCACCCTTGATGTAGTGTTATAAATTATGATTCCAGGAAAAATGATTTGTGGTCGTGTTTGTTTTAACCTGGTTGCAAACAAACATGTCTCTAAGTCACCACAAGTTGAATATTCAGATAAAATTTGATGACTGGAGTAGACTTCTCCCATGCACTGAAACGTTTTAATATTATTTTTTATTTGTAATAGTTAAATGACTTTTTGACATGTTTTGTTTTCGTCCCGAAAATGGCTTCTGATCATTCTATAATTCTTGACCATGTTATATGTATTTTTTAGATCACTTCAAAAATGTTCCACGTTCGGACCAGGGACTCTAAAACTGAACATTTTAGGTTGTCTAATGAATGTCCTAGGATGCTTTATTTAGGGGCAGCTGTGGCTGAGTGGTTAGAGCAGTCGTCCTCCTATGCAAGAGTTGGGGGTTCAATTCCACCAGCAGTCACATGCTGAAGTGTCACTGTGCAAGACACTGAACCCCTCATAGCCTCTGATGTGTGTCCCATCAGTGTATGAATGTGATCTAAAGCACTGATTAATCTCTTTAGAATGATTTGTTCAATTAGCTTTGTAGAGATCTAGTAGAGTGCTGTATGAACGGGTAAATGAGGCACAGATTCAAGTGTGAAGAGCTTTGAGTATCTTGAAATAAGATAGAAAGGTGCTATATAAGTACAGTCAATTTACCATTTATTTTTAAACATTTTTGTTTAGAACCTTTTGAACTTGTCAATTCACAACAAATTAATCAATTTATGGGATAAAAGCTTCCTAAACAACAACAAAATGTTATAATTACAATTCTTTATGTTTATAATAGACTGTACTATTGCAATGGTTTATTATCTGGGTGTCCAAATACTTCTTTAAAACATCTTCAGTTGATCTAAAATGCTGCTGCCAGAGTCTAAACTGGAGTTAGTGGGAGAGATCATATTTATGCAGTTTTAGCTTCTCTCCAATGGCTCCATGTCAACTCCAGAATTGAATTCAAAATCTTCTAACCTACAAAGCCCTCAACAACCTGGCTCCATCTTATATTACAGATGTCATTATCCCATATTTTCGTAACAGAGCACTTCGCTCTCAGACTGCAGGCTTACGTGCAGTTCCTAGAGTTTCAAAAAAGTAGAATGGGAGGCAGATCTTTCAGTTATCAGGCTCCTCTCTTGTGGAACCAACTTCCAGTTTCTGTCCGTGAGGCGACACATTATCCAGTTTTAAAACTAGGCTTAAGACTTTCCTTTTTGATAAATCCTATAGTTAGGGCTGGATTGGGTTTCCTGAGGTGCCCCTTAGTTATGCTGCTATAGGCTTAGCCTGCTGGAGGACAAACTGACCACATTTCTTCACTATGCAACTGTCTTTACTTACTCTGCTCAACATGTTTTGTATTTGTATTTTTTTTTAAATCTTTGTTGTGTTTTTGTCTTTCAGATACACATGGACCTACATCTGGACCTGCCATTCTGTGTTTTTTGTCTCTCCTTCCTGTCCTCTCAAACCAGCCGGTCAAGGCAGATGGCCGTTTGTCCTGAGCCTGGTTCTGCTGGAGGTTTCTTCCTTTTAAAAAGGGAGTTTTTTCTTTCCACTGTTGCCATTGTGCTTGCTCAGGATGGGAGACTGCAACGAAGCCAAGATTCAACTTGTCTGTTGGCCTCCTTAGATAGAGAACTATACTAATTGGCTTTTTTTATATATGTGAATGTTTCTGTAAAGTGCCCTGAGACAACTTTGCTGTGAACTGGCACTATATAAATAAACTGAATTGAATTGAATTTATATATTTTACATAATTTAGCCATCTCCTTCTTCTGGGAGACCAACATGTAGACGGTTTATAAAAGAAGCTTTATGTTGATCATTACCGCATGAATAATTGAAATTTGCATCATCTGGCCTTTCTGAACAATGGCTGTGAACAAGCCACAACAAGCTAATTAAAGTTTTAGGACCTTGATATGAATAGTGGGGGAGATTAAGCTCTGAGATCTCACTGCAAATTATGAAAAATGTGACCCTGCAGGAGGAGAAACCAAAAAAAAAAAAAGAAAAGTACATTCTATAACAAGCATTGTAGAAAATAATGTATGTGGACTGTGTTAATTTGAAGAAATGCAGAATGTGTTGAATAACAGAGTGAATTAAAATGAATCTGGGGTTCTGCTTGTTTGCGTGCTATGTGTGTCTAATGATGCTGTAGGCCATAACAGAAGGTGGCATTTGTTATTAATGGTGACACCAGTGTTAGGCGAGTCCTGCGGCCAAGCCTCGAGCAAGAAAAACCAGAGGGGTAGAATTGTGACTCTAACTAATGCAAAGAATAAAACACCCAACATGTTACTGCCGCGGTGGACTGTCAAACAGAATAGTTCTGGCTGATAGGAGGTTTTAATTATACATGCAAATTTCGAGGAGTCATTCAGAGGTTAGCCTATAGACACAATTTTTTCTTTCTTTGTCTAAAACACAGAAAATCGACCACAGAATTTTTCTCTGAGGGGACAGGAAATCGACATTCTGCTTATATGAGAAATGACCCTCAGGATGTTGCCAGTGACATTATCATAAGACCGTCTGTGTACCGTACGTGAGGAACTCAGCAGTGAGTTTAAAGGGCACAGCATGCTTGTGTGAGGGGGTGAAGGGGGGGTTGTTCTTGTGCATGTCATTGTCTGCGTGCACAGGCAGGACAGGACAGTGTGGAGGCAGGGAGCAGATGTCAGTGATTGATGGCAGCCATCTGAATGGGGAATTTCTCTGGTTCACGTCCTGTGAACTGCAAAAACTGATGCAATAACCTTAAGTTTAGACACGGGGCCATCAGTTACATTCACGCAGAGCAGAAGGGTTCTAAGCGTGCAGAGATGGATTTCTTCAAAAAACAAAACAACTGAATAGGAGAAAAGTTACTGCTTGACTGGAAAAAAATCTTAAATTAAAGGACTAATAGCAACAAACAAGATTAATTGCACCTTGTTGAATTTTCTGCTGAATAATGGTCCTTTCCAAAAGACACAGTCATGAACCACTTAAACTTTTAGATTTTAAAATGATGGGTTACTGACTCTAAACAAATGCAAAAAAACAAATAAAAAGAAAATAAATCTCAAAATTATGCAGCTCCTTTTGAGAAAGCAGCTATTTATTTGTCCACACTGTCCTCAGCATTTACGTTGCTGTTTTAAGACACCTTGTGTTTCCTACTTTAAAATGATCCATGAATGGTATGATGTGAACGGACTGCATGCCATCAGACTAAATGTCAAATAATTCATGCAGGAGATATGAAACAAAGAGGTTTGAAGCAGTAGATTTTAATGTTAGTTGTTTATGGCAATCTGAACATCATAAGGTAAATAATTAAAGCTTTTCTATTCACTGTTCTTACAGTGGAAAACAATAGTAATGTGTTACTTCTAATATTTACTGACAAAGCATGTTGCTGTAAATAATAGGGCTAAAACAACACAAGTAACTCAAATGTCTAAATTAAAAATATGTTTTTATATGCCAAATTTCTAATTGGAGTAAGTGATGTATCTAGCTTTATAATACCATTATATTTTGCTTTATTTAGAATCCGTGACTAATTTTCTTTGGAATTTAGACTGATGATAAAATATAACTTTACTTTTAATGGTATTGAAAGTGTAAAGAATGATTTCCAAATGCAAATCCTTAAGTTAAAATGAAACAGCTTGTGTCTGTTTTATGTTAAACTAAAAATGAAGAAAACTAGAACCCCAACACTTTTAAAAGCTTCTGTGTCCTAATCAGGAATGCCCACTGTTCAATATGAGATGCACAAAGTTTGTGAAGGACAAGTTTTGAGATTTTTAAGTACTTGTTCAGAACAGACAATAAAAAAAATATATTTTACAAAAACTTGTTATCTGGGATGTAAATTGTTAAGGCTTTAAAGATAAGCTCCCATTATAAAATATAAACAGATTATCATCCAATACTTAAACTTTAATGCCTCTAAATCAGGTCATTCTATAACTAGGACATCTGCACTTTAGTTACACAGAAGAATGAATATGAATGAATATGAAGAATATATTTCAAAATTCCAGCTAAAAAAATAATTTCAGTTAAATCTCCACAAGCCCAAACCGAAATAATCATCAGACTTATTTCAGTTTCACATTAAGTCCTTCAGAAATTTGATATTCCAGCATGACACTAGCTAACATTTAGGCATAATAATACAATAAACAATATTGAAAAAACATTTAAATCATTTTAACTTTACCTTTTTGAGAATGCCAGTAAGCCTCTCAGTCTCGCAGTCGATGATAATCTGTCCTTCCTTCCTTTTGTCCAGATCCTGGAACACCTTCAGGAAGGAGGCCTCTGTCATGGTCTCCACATTGACTGAAGTCACCAGCCAGTTCCTCTCTGCTGCTGTGTCCAGAACCTTCTGTAGCACTGACAGGCCTGGACAGGAGAAGACAAATAAAACACACGTTTCTGGAAACATAGGTGCTTGACTGAGAAAATTTCACAACAAAAGTTCAGCAAAAATGATACATAACTATTGGTGTTCATCTATGAACAGCAATTAATACATGTATAGATATTTAATGGTGGTGTATGCACAATCCCACACTTTGTCTAGGTATATTAAAAGTTGGTACAAAACTTGGTACAAACTGGAAAAAAACGATGGACTAGCCGTAGCTGTGCAGAGGCCCATATTGCTTCTGCTAAGCTTATCCATCAGAATTGCCCCCATAGTTTTGGTGATAAAGTGTAATGAGCGGGACAGTCCATTAGGCACACTGACACTTACAGGTGTGCTTTTCCAGCTTGTGTGCCACCAGGCTAAATAATCACCGCTTTCGTGCTAACAAATAATCAGCCTGAGCATCATTACAATCTTCACATGCTTACAGACAGCTTTATGTCCTATAAGCACCAATTACAGGTGGTGCCACTCAATTACAGAATCACCAATGTGCTGCTGAGGTGCCTGAGCATAGCAGAGAAACAGAGCAGCCAATGAGCTGGGGGCTTATGCTAAGTCCGGAAATAAAAGGCAATTAGGGAACACATTGATCTTGAGCTCTGATTTACAGTCTGACTCACTGTTGTACTTCTTTTGCTGCTGGCAGAGGACCAATCAGATTCCTTTCAGAGCTGGCAGTCGGAGATGTTCCACAGAGTAAATAAAGCCATTTCACCCACGTCAAACTGGCTGCCATTATCCAAATGAATTGTAGTAATTACAAAATGCACACATGTAAGCCAGCTTTTTGGAGCTTTTTCTGATTTTCTTTTATAACGCTGGAAAACAGTGTTGAAGCCACCATGAGGCCACATGTGTGTTACACTGGCCCCAAGGCTGGTTTTGATGTTCATGCGGACACTTTATAAGCAACTACACATACATTTATAACTCGTTTATCCAGAAAAACAAAATAACACAGGCACCGTCAGAGAAAAAAATAACAAATGCAACCACGGTACATGAAAGATGACTGCTTGGCCTTATTAAAATGCAGAGCAGCTGCTCTCCAGGCAATTCACGCTGCTTAGCTGACACCAGGTCATTAACAAAAGAAAAGATGAATGGCATTTCAGCCTCTCGTATACACATGGCTGTGACACGTAAATAGATGGGGATGCCAGAAAAATGTGAGAATGTTGAGAGGAGGTCTGATGCAGGAGTTGGTAAAGCTTCACTGCAAAGTTCCACAGTGCTGCAGTTCCTCTTTCGTTCTCTGTCCATTGTTGCTAATGTGAGAATAACTGTGGTTCTTGGTGATGGCAGAATTAACAGTAGCTGTGAAACTGATGATGAGCATGGGGACACTGGAGATAATTAATTATGGTGAAGAAGAAAAAAAAAAACATCAGCGGGACTGTCATCCCTAAATGAAGTCAATTTCAGGTGACAGGAAGCTTTCAGCACCACGGACAGCACCAACACAACCAGCTTCCATAAAGAGCTCACTTGTCTTCATCTTGTCAGCATTTTCTAATGTCTCTCTGTTTAATAACTGTTATAGCTCTTTCCTTATATATTTAAATGTTATCTAGTGTTAGTGAGAGAAGAGCATTCTGCACAATGGGGCAAATCATCAATTGTGTGCAGAGAAACTAGGAACTTGACTTTTCCTGTTAGTAAAATGCAGGTCACCACAGATAATGGACAACTGTAAACACAAAAATGGCTGTGGCTCAGACACTAGTACAAATACTGAGTTAAATTTGATGTGACAGGATCCAAGAGTTATCCTTATCACATAATCTTAGTGGTAACAGATTTTGAGAAAATAATATTTAGAACTTTGGCTCTAACTTGTTGAGTTAACCCAAATAATGGCTACAGTGCAGTCAGTTTCATAGATAACATCTATAACATTGTGTGATCATAGCTGAAGGTCATTCACAACACAGCGGATGACAAATTGTGTTCATAACTCCAGTTGATAACATAATGTGCAAAAACTTGCACTATTACATGTGATTGTGCATAATATTGCTGTCCTGATTTTACTAAAAAACCCTTGAACTTTTTAAAATAAAATTATATTAGATTAATATTCTGGCATGATTTTGCCTCCTTAAATTGGATTTGCCATATTTTTCATATTGTTATATTTCTCATATTGCTCAGCTTGTAGGGATGAGAATATACACCAGCATCTGACATATAAGAGAACTGCAATACTTAAGGATTTTAAGTTAAATCATACTTTTTTCCTGTCAGTGTAACACAAGCCTGATGCTTTTTGACATTTCAAACATAAAACGTTAAACATGTACAGGTACAATAATGCATTCTTACACCGTGCTGTAAAAAATATTGTTTTAAATTGTCAACTTTACTTTTCATAAAAGTGAAAAAGAATTATTCTATTTTTCATTTTTGTTAAATATAACATTTATCTTTCCACACAGGCAGATTCTGAGGGATACCATTAAGGCCCAAATAAGGACTTGTTTGTGTTCTGAAAAATAGATTCAATTCAATTCAAAATACTTTATTAATCCCAAAGGGAAATTAAATGCTGTTATCCTCATTTCGTTAAGAAATGTTATATATACTGATGGCTGTAGGCAGGAAGGTCCATCCCACATAGATCCAAAGAAACTGGCCATAGATGCCATCCAATCCATCCACCCAAACTTGGCTGGCTAAAAAAAGTTTCAGTCAAAATCCTTCCAGCTGCACAGCATCTGATACCAGAGGAAACAATCATTCAAAAAAAGTGATTTACTTCCAGAAAAAAGAAGAATTAAAGTTTCCAAACACAAAATCTCAGAATGAAAGTAATAGAGCTGCTCCAACATGCAGCCACCCCAAAAGGCGCAATTCTAGATCCATTTCCAGTTAGGTTAGGCTGTGACACCAGATGTTCAAAAAGTAAAATCTACTTGACTGATCGGCATGATTGAGAGATGAGAACATCTTTCTCTCAGCCTAAACATGCAACATTCTCACTCTAATGCTCTAATGTTCACAAAGTGTGTTGTAAAAATTTGAATTTAAAACTTTCATATTCACTTATTCACATTTCATAGAATTGGAAATAAAATAAGTTGTGTTTATTTTATTTTGATTCTAATTCAGTATAACATAATCTGTATATGTGAATGATTCTTAAGGTGCTCTGGCATCATTTTTTTGCAACAGATGACATCGAGTTTAGTTGTGATTGTGTGTTTAGTTTCTAAATTACTGAAACTTAAACAGGTTTGCGAGTACACAGAAAAATACATTTTTGTTTTTATATCTAAAGAGTTTTAGTATTGAATATACAAAGTTTTATGCAGCTGGTCTTTGGGGTTTTCTTTTTTTTTATTATGTTAACATTGTAGCTGAATCAATATATTTATATATATTTTTATATTCCATCTGCTCTTTATGCATCCCCTGCTTCCTCTTTTCTTTTCCAAATCACTGTGTTTGAATCAAATGCAATCTCCTTTTTTTAAATGTGCCTAATGAGCCCTATAAATCCAAGCCAGCCTGACAGGGATGCTCTCAGATGCAGCCAAGGTAAAAAAAGCTTCTTCAAAGGCATCCTGAAAGAGAATAATATCATAATGGAATCTGGCTATGATAAGCACCTTTTTAGCCAGAGGCAGTACACAGAGACCCAAGCATCTGGCAAGTGAGAGTGGAAAAAAATAACAGTTTGTGAAACCATTTCCTAAATATTGCTTATGATAGGGTTAATGGGCTATCAAATTTGTTTTCCTATTTGCAGGCTTCTGAAATAAAAAAGATGAGCCGCATCATTCATCATATTTATTAGGAGGATGCTTCAAGGCAAGAGAACAATATAAAGGTTTACAGGAGAAAAACTGAGAAAAAAAATAATGTTAAAAAATTATGTGTGATATATTTGTATATCCTTGATCACTTCAAATAATGATTAAAAAAATCACATGTAAATACACACACACAAGCAGTAGTCCATCGCTACTTCACTGTTTTTCACAGACTCGCTCTATGGCGGGTTTTTCAAAATAAGATTGGACATGACACACAAGTGACTGATCGATGGATGAGCCACATGAATGGCATGGAATTTTTATTTAAAATTAATTATTTTAAATCATTTAGCACCTGCTGCACCTATGTGCAGCCCACAGCTTGCAGGAGAAGCTTCCTCCTGCAGCATGTCATATCTCTGCTCTCCAGTGGAGAAATAGGCTTGACCGAGAGAGCTGGCATGTGGCAGAGAGCTGAGATCATGACATTCTGTTCTCTTTCGGAGCATTTATAGTTTAGAAACATTGTTTAGAATATTGCAATAGTGTGGGAAGAGATTAAAATGCCTTTATATAAATTTTGTGGTGTCCAACCAACGTTCCTCAAAATACATTTTTGTCCTCAGACACAGGAACTGTCTTTCACCCCTCTTTGTGTGCTAATTTACATATCTGGGAGTCAGCACACCCTGGCTCCATACTGACTGTTAATTATACCATTTGTAATAAGCAACTGTCTTTCCTGGGAAGCGACAGACTTAATGGCTCCAACAAGATGTCCATAACAAAGAAGTGAACTTACCACACCAACAAGACATTTGGTTGCCATATTAACGAAGGAAGTTGACCCTATGTTGTTTTCAATGTGCGTCAGGACCAAACTTGCATTTGCTGAGAGAATGGTGTTTATGTAAATGCAAAGTTTTACCATTTTCAACAAAAGCCATTGTGCTTCCCCTTTAAAGACTTTGAGAGGAGTGATATAATTAGAATTAATTATGCAGTCAGTTCACACCCACTCTGATAGCTGCATCTGATTGGATAAAATCAGAGGCACGCCACTTCGTGTCAGAGAAGCTGACACGTGAGGTCGGTTGCTGATGGGGTTGTTGGGAGAAGCAGTGTCATGGTGGAAGAAGATGCCCGAAGCTGGCTGAGGTGTTGCACATGAGCTGCAGAGAGTTGGCTTTGAGCCAACCCAGAAGTCTGCGGGACTCCGAGCCAGTCAGCTGAGAAATGGAGAAAAGTCCTGGTAACCCTCAGACACCCAGGAGCAATGGTGCTGTCTTGCCAAACGAAACGCAGTCCTGAGAAAAGACATCCCTTCTTGGGACATCCTGCCACCGGCTTTCACATTCATTGCGGTAATGAGATGGACATCTCCCAGTAGGACAAACGTCTTTCTTCTGATGAGGAGAACAACTCAGTACCAACTCGAGTTCTTTTAGACATTAATAATTAGTTCACAATTCTGTTTACCTCAATTTTAACTTTAGCGCTAAAACTTTAGTCCAAATTGACTATTTTGTACCTCTTCCCAAAGTCTTTAGACTATTTACATCATTCATTTTCTGAAATAATGCTATTGGTTATTCATTCATATTTCATATTTGCCACAATTTCACACTGTTGTTTATTGCTCAAGCTGAAAATAAATGTTACAGAATTGTGCATTTAAATGACCAGAATAAACTACAACTTACAACTTGTACTACTATTCCTACTTCGTGGTTTTTCACTTATCTCGGGGCTTCAGGGTACAGATCCCTGCGATAAACAAGGGACTACTATATATATATATACTTCTTCCCAATTGTATTAAAACTTAAATAACAATTAAAATAATCACTGAGCTATGTTAAAGAAGCAAAACAAACCAATTATTTTAATGTATATACCAAGCAAATACTTTAAAACTAAATATCATTTTTCCTTAAAGGCTTAAAATAACTCTGGTGACTGCAGCATAGTATCCAGGCAACTGAGGCTACTAATATAGATTTCTTGGATCCATTCTCCTAGTCAGTGATATAGGAGTGACCTGCACAAATATACACTCATGCGTTCACAACTTGACATGTATGAGTACATTTTAAAAAGAATAAACAAGATTATAAATAATTTAGAGAATTTAAAGAGTAATATCTCCAAATTCAGGTAGAGACACAACTAGAGATGCACTGAATTTATTTTGATTTCCAGCTCTTTAAAGCTCTGTCTGTTGGGTCACTTTTTTTTAAGAACTATAATTAACAGCATGCAAAATGTATTTTAAAATTTCTGGTTGAACATAAATTTTGACTGTGTTTAAAACTAGTTACAATAAAAACAACAACAAAGCAAAAACACACAAACGAAACGGAAAAATAAAACACTTTTTTATAATTAGTCACCATTAATTTAGTTTAAGATTAGAAAACTTAAAAGATATTTTGACAAACCTCAAAAATAAAATAATTTCCCTTTGGGATTAATAAAGTATTTTTGAAATGAACTGAAATACAAGATAGTTTTTTTTTTATTATTGGACCTGAAATAAAAATATGTCACTGAAGAGTCCAGTACTGTGAACACTGTTTCTACGTTATTTCTTCATAAATGACTGTTAAATAGTTTATCCAATTCATTACAGTATAACTAGTTGCATGAGTAAGTACAGTTTCATAAACATAACAGTTAAAATAATATTTTTTATTTACATGACTGGTTGTAAATGATAGATCTCATAAAGTTAATTCGTCTTGTTGCCTGTTTTGTTAGTTTTTAATAAAAATAATTTAATTTCAAAGGTGTTCAAATGCAAATGCAAGTTGGCAACTTAGTGAAGGTGCATTTATGAACAGGGTAAAAAAAATAAAAAAACATCAGATGTTTTAAGATTAGCTGTGATTCAGTCAAAGAAAAAAAAAGTGTGCTGAATCAGCTTGTCACATACTGAAAATTTGCTGATTCTGGTCATCATTCAAGCAAATGGTGCATTTCTGGTGACTAAACCTTTTAAATAGAGCAAGAGTTTATGTTTCCGTCACTGAACAATGCAAAGTTTAAAGCTCTCTTCAACTGTTTTACTTTTTCAGTCAAGTAAAACTCACGAGCTAACAGAATTTAGACATCTGCGTCAGCTAAAAGTCCACATGCATACGTGCATTAATTTTATTTCGGTGCGTTTTTTTGGGTCTCAAAATGCTGCAGGTACATAGCATGGTCATGCTCCAAAACCCACAACACCTGGGACAGATGGCACGACATAAGCTAAAGCTTTTTGGCTATTGAGAGAGAGGCTCACAGGCGCTCAACCTAAATTGTGTCAGCCTTAGCAGGACTGTCATTAAAGTGGTTTAAGTAAATGCAAGCACTTGATATTTTTCTAGCTCAGTTCTGACAAAGAAACCGTGTCAACATGGGTTACTGCTGATGACTGTTCAATGAAAAGCTTAAGCTTTTGTTCCACTGATCTGTTGGTGCAGGTCAATGTTCCCTCTTGAGTATTCTGTTTGTAAAAAGGCTGCTGCTGTCGCCATGGTAATATGAGCACCATCATATCAAATGTTTCAGAGAATAACATGAACGCACACTCCGAGTGTTCTCGCCCACTTCACAGTCACAATTTGGAATAAAAAAAGGACAGTAGGAGAAGAAATGGAAAAAGACTGTTGAAGTTTCTCACCTGAGTCAGAGCTGTACATGTAGACAAATTTTGTCCATCCATAGTGCTCAATAACTCCCACCAGGGCATCCTGGAGCTCAGGTCTCAGCTGGATGACAAACTGGTTTGCAGTCTCTATGGGGAAGGATGGCGTGACAAAGCAGACATGCAGAGCTCCGCAGAAGGACATGAGCATGTTGACAGTTTTTCTGTCATATAGTCCAATGATGGCGTACACTCCTTTGGAGAACTGAGAGCAAACTAGGAAAAATAAGACAGAAAACAAAGATATTAGATGTAAAATCAGCCCATAAGGAAGAAATCTGTTTTTTTTCTGTTGCAAACCAAAATCTGGCAGATGCAAGTATGGTAAAAACTGCATGAATTGCAGATTTATATGTGCCCTATAAATATTTTACAAAACACTGTAAAATATTCCACAATACAACTGACCCAATTATCTGCACATTAGTTTCAACACTGAATACATATTTTGTGAAAACTTTTGCACGTTCATCAGTTTCAAGAGTGGTACAACACTATCTGGGCATACATGTATACTCACAAGATAACAAAATGTGATTGAATCACTTGCAATACTTTGCAAATAAATCCCAGACGTGCTATTTTGCTATGCAAAACCTTTCATGCCTGATATGTTTTTGGCACAACCTCACATCAACTTATGTAGAAACAAATAAACCAAGCAGAAAATCAGGTGCTGAAACAGAATGAGGATTTTGATCAGTTTTATAAATAAATCACAAAAATTCTCAAGGTCATACTGCAACATTGTACAAAGTAATAAGTTGGCAACACAACTCATAAGAATCAGTGGGCAATTGTCAACAGATGTTATGGCTTCAGCAGGTCAGTTTGTCTGTAATTATTTCAGGGTATGGACAATGGCAAATGGAGGACTAACTGACCTAATTTCCTTAAATGATTTGCTAAAATTGAATAGTTTTCATTTGATACTATTTCTATCTTGCATGTGACTCTTGACCTGCCATTGTGTATCTGTTCCTCTCAAACCCAGCCGGTCGAAGCAGATGGCTGCTTGTCCTGAGTCTGGTTCTGCTAAAGGTTTCTTCTTCATGAGGGAGTTTTTCCTTTCCACTGTCGCCTTCATGCTTGTTCAAGATGAGAGTTCTGCAATGGAGTTAAATTCAAAGCAGTCAGCTCATCAGACAAAAAGTGTTATTATTTTTATATTTGAATGTTTCTGTTCAGTGCCCTGAGATGACATCTGTTGTGACTTGGTGCTATATAAATAAACTGAATTGAATTGAATACTACATTCTTTGCCTTCTCTTTCTATCCACACCATGGTAAAACAGTTGAACCCCTTCTCCAATGCTGCGAGCCTTGCTTCCTTTCTACTTGGCCTCTTGGACACTAAACATCTACCTTCCTTCTCTGCATCATGTCAGCCAGCTCTCTGCCTTTGTCTGTCATTGTCCCCACATTTAGAGTTGCAACTCTGTATAAATTGTAAATATAATTTCATGGTTTTTTATGTTTTGTACTTGAATATTATCTTTTTTACACTAATATCTATACCCCTGGCAAACAGATGTTTGTAATGTTTGATTAAAATCTTTAATAAAGGAAAAAAAAAAAAAAAAAAACAAAAAAAAAAAAAAAAAAAAACCTTTCAATCCTACATTCTTGACTTTCTTCTTTTTCTTCTGTCTCCTGACATGTTTCCCTCCTCGTGGTATTTGACTAACAGTAGCATAATTTCCGCCGGCACCCTGTTTTTCAACAGCACCGGTGACGATTGTTGTTAACCTGGCCTCGACCAATCTGGTATGGTGTTACTTAGATGAACTCACATATTAGTTTTGGCAAAAGTGTTTTATGTCTGATGCCCTTCCTGACACAACCCTCACCATTTACTGGGGCTTGGGACCGAAACAATATATACACTGGCTTGTGCTCCCTAGTGGCTGGTTTATTTACTTAAAAACACAACCATTAAACACATGGTCTTTCATTTCACTGTTATGCTGATGATTGTCAGATATATCTGACCTTAAAACCAAATGGATCTTGATCCATTCACCCTCTTAAAATATCTCAATGTCATATGGCTTGGATGGCTTCATTTTTTTAACTATCAGAAAACTGAAGCATTGTGTTCAGCCCTAGCTCTTCTGCAGTCTCTCGTCCTGTAAACCTTGACTCTCTTGAGCCACATTTTAAGCAGTCTTTCACAAATCTGGGGATGATTTTAGACTCAGAGTCCTCAGTTAAGAAACCTTACGTTTAATAAAAAGATTAACTCTGTTTTCTAGACAAGCTTCTTCTAGTTAAGGCAGATAGCTAAGCTTAAATCAGTGATGGCCAGACCTGACCTTGAGAAAATAATCCATGCCTTAATTATAACCCGACTAAACTACTGTAACACACTTTATGTTGGGGTCGGTCAGACCTCCCTTTCAGGTCTCCAGCTCATCCAAAATGTTGCAGCTCAACTCTTAACAGGAACTCTTAGGTTTCAGTATATTTCACTGGTTTAATACTCCCTTCACTGGCACCCTGTACATCCCAGAATAGGATTTAAAATTATCCCGTTGACCTATAAGTGCCTTAATGGCCTTGCACCCTCATATCTCTCTGACCTACTTCAACGTTACGCTCCTTCTCGGTCGCTGAGATCATATGATCAGCTGCTTTTGGTTGTCTTGAAAACCAGGTTGAAGCTCAGAGAAGATCAGGCTCTTTCAGTTGTGGATCCTAAACTTTGGAGGAATCTGCCAGCCAACATCTAACAGGCCTCTTCACTTCCTGTTTTGAAATCTCTTTTAAAAACACTTCAGTTTTCAGTTATTTTTATTCCATTGTGTTGTTTTAGTATTTTATTGTTTTGTGCTTTATGTTTATTTTCGTATGATTTTTTTTAATTTAATTTGATTTTTTTATCTTCTGCATTTGTCTTTTATTGTTCAGCACTTTGGTACCAACTGTTGTTTTTAAATGTACTTTATAAATAAATTTGACTTGACTTGAATTGACAAGTGGGCTGAAATGCAAAAAATTCACAATTTAGCCTGTTTGCCTAAAAATGCGAGGAGTCTAAATTGTGCCTTTTTTGTGTTTCAAAAAAACTCTAGCAAATTTTAATGGAATTAGCACTCATAAATTATGAACTTTCAATTGTTCAATTTTGAATAAAACATAAATCACAGACATGGCATTTTTTTTCCAAAACTCCAACCTTCTGGTACAAAGTAATACAATTACCAGACACAATAGAAAATTAAAGAAATATAATTGTTGCAGTCACAATTATTGCTTTAAATTCAACTAGACACAAAATATATGGAATCACTTAATCTTAAGGAATTATAGAATCACTCTTTAATGTCCAGTTCTAAAACGAACATCTGCATCAGTTTAAATCTGGTAATTAGTTTAAAGTTAAATAATGCTCACACTTTGGAGTGCTAAGCAGATTGATATGAATCATAACTCTAATATGAGCGCCCAATTGAAATGGTAAATGGTAAACAGTCTGTACTTAGAGTATATAGTGCCTTTCTATCTGATCAAGATATTCAAAACCTTTGTGTCCTCACTTACACATTCATACAGAACTCTACTGTATCTATACAAAGAATAATCCGAGCTTTATCACATTCTTACACCGATGGGACACACATTGGAGGCAATGAGGGGTTCCGTGTCTTGCCCAGGGACACTTTGGCATGTGACTGCTGGTGGAATTGAACCCCCAACTCTTGCATTGGAGGACGACTGCTCTAACCACTCAGCCACAGCTGCACACAAAGGAAACAAAGGAGAGTCCATCCATCCATCCATCCATACATCATCCAATTTTCCAAAGTCGGTTAGCAGGGAAAGCAGCTTAAGCAGGAATGTCCCGACATCTCTTTCCACAAGCACCTCTTCCAGCTTTTCCAAGAGCTTGTCCAACCAAGAGACGTAGTCTCAGCAGCATATCCTGGGTCTTCCCTGGGGTCTCCTTCCAGTCAAACAGCACAAAGCACCGCCCTAGGGAGATGCCCAAGGAGCATCTTTATCAGATGCCTGAACCACCTCAACTGGCTCTTCTCGATGTGGACGAGTAGTGGTTCTACTCCAAGTCTCTCCCAGATAATTGAACTTCTCACCCTATCTCTAAGGGAGAGTCCTGCTACCCTGCAAGTGAAACTCATTTCAGTCACCTATTTGCATGAGCTCATTCTTTCAGTCATTATCCAGCGATCATGGCCAAAGACGAAGGTAGGAACATAGAGCTCACCTCCCTCTTTACCACAATAAACTGGCACAGAGTCCACAATGCTACATATGCAGCACCAATCCATCTGTCAAACACACGCTCTATTCTTCCCTCACTCATGAACAAAACCCTAATCTACTTGGCCTCCTCCACTTGAGGCAGAACCTCACCCTCGACCCAAATAGAGCAATCCATCCTTTTCTGACTGTGGACCATGGCCTCAGATTTGGAGGTGCTGATTCTCATCCCAGCCCCTTCACACCTTGCTGTGAACCACTTCAGTGAGAACTGGAGATCATGACAGAATGATGCCAACAGGACCACGTCATCCACAAATAGCAGAGATGGAATCCTGAGGCCACTGAACTGGACTCTCTCCAGCCACTGGCTGCACTGAAAAATTCTGTCCATGAAAGCTATGCACAGAATCACAGACAGCGGAGTCCAACTTCCATCATTATGTCTTAAATAAATGTTCAAGCCTACAATGACATTTTGGACACTTCTTATTCCATAAATTGAAAAAAAAAAAAAAAAAAAAAGGAAAAAAATGGTGATGACTTCTTTTTCCAAGAAGATAATGCATCTTGCCATTGGGCAAAGGAAATACAAACTTTTTTTAAGAAAAACATCTAAAGTCTATGGTATGGCCAGGAAATAGTCTACATCTCAATCCAGTTAAAACTTGTAGTGAAACTTACAGAAACTAATCAATGACAAGTTTCCAACCAGCAAATCTGGCAACAGCAATAAGAGACAACTGGAGCCAGTTTGATGAAAAGTATTGTTTGTCATTAGTAAGGTCCATTATGTATAGAGTTCAAGCTGTTATAAAAGCAAAAGGTGGTGCAACAAAGTACTAAACAATTGAAAGAACATCTTCGAAGAGCAGTGATTCCATCATTTTTGCCAAGGGTTTTATACGCAACATTTATTTCAGTAATCCTTTACTGTTTCAGTCTACATTTTACCAAACCATCATAGTTTGTGGCCTTATGTGTGTAAGCTGATT